CCTCAGCTGATATCAATCACATGTAATCACTCATCACTTTAAGATGGAAACAGATCCACACAGTTTGATAACGTCTACGTTTTAAAGTCAAACTGAATCTTGTTGTGTGTGTGAATCACTATCCTCTGCACCCTGACAATAAACGAGAAGCATAAAGCTGGATGTCTTCACTCTGTTATTATAAAGGGTTCATGTGCAGCGAGGCGGTCATTACTGAAGCTCCTCGCTGAACATTATCCCGATTATTACACGGCCACACACTAAATAAACCAACTCCCAGATATAATTGAAAATTATTTTATTGACTTAAAAATGTTGGTATTACTAAGAAAAACAACCTCTGAAATATCAAAATGAACCAATCAGAATCGTGTATTCAACTAAGCTGCGTAATACATTAGTTTGGAAGTGGCTTTATTTCAATAAACACCACAACACTCTCTTTATTGGTTTATAACAAGAAATGAAATGAGAACACAGTTCTGTTGGATCAGAAGTGCGGCGTGGGGTCGCTGCGGTCGCACATCTGGACGTGGATGTGAGAGGTGATTTCTGGGTAAACGCTCTGCATCGGCAGCATGACGCCGAGCCGCTGCCCTGCCCTCACCGTGCCCGAGGTCCGGTCCGGCTGCACGTAGAACAGCTTGAAGCACAGACCTGCAAAACACACCCTTTACTGTCAGTAAGTCACATGACAAACGTTATATATTTAACAGCTAATGTGATGCTAACCCTCTCCACTCAGGTTGATGCCGCTGTTGATGGCCGCCTTATTGGGGTCGTTGTACACGGTGACTTTCCCGTTTAACGTCACATCAAACGGAGCGTAGACGATCGATCCGTCGCTGCACACGATGTCCAGACCTTTGTGGAGCCGGGCCCCTCTGAAACACAACAAACACCCGTAAAAATATAACAAATCTTTTATTTTAGTATCCCTAGTTAACAGTAACCAATGGTACAACCCTGACACTGTCACATGACTTCACATCACCACCGCTAAGATAAAGGAGGCTAATGTTGGGCTATAAAGGAACTACAGCACGATCACATGACTTCACGTCACCACCGCTAAGCTAAAGGAGGCTAATGTTGGGCTATAAAGGAACTACAGCACGATCACATGACTTCACGTCACCACCGCTAAGCCATCACCACCGCTAAGCTAAAGGAGGCTAAGTTGAAGCCTCCCCCAAAAAGGAGGTAATGTGGGCTAAAGGAGGCTAACGTGGGGCTATAAAGGAACTTCAGCACGGTCACATGACTTCACATCTCCACCGCTAAGCTAAAGGA